ACCAGATGCCAGGGGAATGCAGACACTCACGCTGGAACTGGACAGGGCGCGAGCCCCCAGAGCGCCTCAGGGCCGCAGCCGACTCCACGGAGCCGAGCGTGGGCTAAGCGCGAGGGACAGAGAGGCGTGAGCCGAAGACGTCACGCAGAGGGGCCATTGCCAGGGGGGCCGAGCCATGCCGTGGCCAGGTCCGGGCAATTGCCACGGTGAAACCAACTGCAACAACGGCCAGGGCCGTAAGGCACGTCGCGCCCCGCCCCAGCTGGGCCTGCGCACCCAGTATTGACGACGCTAGGGGGCCGGGCCCCCGAGGGCGGGGAGGCCGAGCCAGGTGCCGTGCCGGGGCCGACACTGACGACGCTGGGTCAGCAGCGGGCTGAGGGCGGCGGTAACCGGAGCCCAGGCGCTCGAGACAAGAGGCGCGAGCCGGAGACGTCACGCAGAGGGGCCAATGCCAGGGGAACCGAGCCAGGCCGTGGCCAGGTCCGAGCAATGGCCAGGGTGAAAACAACCACAGCCAACGGCCGAAGCCGCGAGGCCCGTCGCCCCCACCCCAGCGGGGGCCTGCGTACCCGGCATTGACGGCGCCAGGGGGCCCAGCCCCCAAGAGCGGGGGGGGGCGAGCCAGGCGCCGTGCTGGGGCCGTCACTTGACGACACCGGGCCAGCAACGGGGGGCCGCAACTCGCTGCGGCCAGGGGCGGTGCACCCAGCGAGCACTGCTACAGCAGACGGGCAGGCCGTGCATCGGCACTTTGCGCCTCGCCCCAGCCAGGGCATCGTGCCAAGTATGGACAGTGCCAGGGGCCTGTTCCACAAGGGCGGGGGGCTGGCCAAGCGCTGTGTGGTGACCGGACCCAGTCGTGAGGGGCTGGAGAGATAGGGGCACACATGGGCGACTGCGGCAAACGGCTGCACGACCCCAACATGATAACCTTAATCTTCCAGCAAATGAGGGACTCCTCCAACGGCGAGCGTTTCCGCGCTGGGAGCACTGCCAGGGAAGTGATTGACGGTCACACTGTCTGTGAAAAGAACGGAACTGAAGTTGCTAATGGTAACCCTTACAAGAACGTCAGCTTGATTCCAGAGTATACCGGACGATCGATCGAAGCCCCCGCCGCACGGGTGCTCGTCTGCCGGTCTCCAGGGGGGGAGGGGACGACGAGCTGCCTGCGGCAGACGACTACGTGTTCACTCTCGAGCACTCCCTGGAGACCGCTGCAGCATACGGCCGCACTTCCGATACACGTTCATGCGGCTCTAACCTGTGAGGCACGTCTCCGAGCGCGGGAGCACCATCTGTAGCGCACCCACCTGCCACCACGGTACTGCCTCCAGGAAGAGGCGAGCTCTCGAACGCCCATCTGGCCACCACCGCACCGCACTGCTGCCCCAAAGACGCTGGCAGGAGTGAGGGGCCGTATGGATGTCCGATTGCCGGCCTCCAGGAGGGGAGGGGGACGACAAGCTGAGGCAGACGATGGCGCGCTCACTCTCGAGCTCTTCCTGAAGACTGTTGCAGCTAACGGCCGCACATTCCAATGCACACTCCTGAGACTCTACATTGTGAGGAAAGCCCCCGAAGAAAGCCTCCGAGCGCGGGCGCGCCCTCAGCATCGTTCCCAACTGTCGCCGGGGTCTTGTGTCCAGGACGGGGCGCGCTGTCGAACGCCTCTTCAGCCTCCACCGCACTGCTGCTGATCACTCTCGAGCACACCGTGGAGACTGTTGCAGCTAACGGCCACATTTCCCGATACACGCCCCTGAAGCTCGCTTTTGTGAGGAACGTCTCCAAGCGCGGGCGCGCCCTCTGCAGCGATCCAAACTGTCGCCAAGGTACTGTCTCCAGGAAGGGGCGCGCTGTCGAGAGCGTTTCCGGCCTCCACCGCACTGCTGCCCCAGGGACGCTGATAGGAGTGAGGGGCCGAATGGGTGCCCACCTGCCGGCCTCCAGGAAGGGGAGGAGACGACAAGCTGCGGCGGGCGACCACGCGTTCGCTCCCGAATTCACCCAGGAGATTCTTGCAGCTAACGGCCGCACGGCAGACGACCACGTGTACACTCTCGAGCTTTCCCTGAATGCGATGCAGCTAATGGCCGCGCTTCCCGGAACAGACTCCTGAGTCTCTATTGGGTGAGGGGCGTCTCCGAGCGCGGGCGCGCCCTCTGCAGCGCTCCCATCTGTCGCCAGGGTACTGTCTCCAGGAAGGGGCGCGCTGTCGAGCGCCTCCCCGGCCTCCACCGCACTGCTGCCCCAGGGGCACTGATAAGAGCGAGGAACCGTACGAGTGCCCGCTTGCCGGTCTCCAGGCGGGGGAGGGGACGACAAGCTGCGGCAGACGACCACGTGTTCCTTTCTCTGCAGACTGCTGCAGCCAACGGCCGCACTTCCCGCAACACACTCCTGAGGCACGTTTTTGTGAGGAACGTCTCCAAGCGCGGGCGCACCCTCTGCAGCGCACCCGACTGTCGTTGGGGTCCTGTGTCCAAGAGGGGTGGCGCTGTCGAGCGCCTTTCCGGCTTCCACCGCACTGCTGCCTCAGGGACGCTGAAAGGAGTAAAGAGCCGAAGGGGTGTCCGCCTGTTCTGTCGCACTGCCACACCTGCCCGCTGATTGTTGCAGCTGAAACTGCACTTTCGGAAACAAGGTCGTGACTTTCACACTTGTGAAAAACGTCTCCGAGAGCGGGCGCGCCTTCTGCGTCACCCCGGGCACCACCAACCATCGCCGCGATACTGTCTCCAGGAAGCGGCGCGCTTCGGGCGTATTTCAACCTCCTCCGCGAACCTGCCCCAGGGACGCTGCTAGGAGTGAGGAACAGTATTGGGGTCCGCCTGCCTTCCTGCCGCTCTCGCCCAGGCAGGGGAAGTTCCAATCACCAAAAAAAGAAAAAACCTAGAAAAACAGCGAGAGCGCTCAGGAAAAAGGAGTGAGGAAAGGAGAATGAGGAAAAAGATGATCGAGCAAAGAAGAGGGAAGCATGAAGAAGAGGAAAGAGCAGAGAACGGTAGAGAGGAAAGGAGAGCAAGGAAGAAAAAAAGAGAAAAGAAAAAGCTAGAAAAAAAAAAGGAAAAAAAGGGAAGGAAAAAAAGAGAAAAAAATGAAAAGAGGAAGAAAAGGAATCGCAAAAAAAAGGAAGAGAATCGCAAGGAAGGCGGGACCGTCGACGAGCGTCTGAATTGGGAGGAGCATCTCCGAGCGCGGGCGCGCCCTCTGCAGCACCCACAGTTATCGCCGCGATGATGTTTCCAAAACGGAGCGCGCTTTCGACGGCATTTCTGGGTTCCTCCGCGAACCTGCCCCAGGACGCTAATAGGAGTGAGGAACACTATGGGGGTCCGCCTGTTGGTCTCCAGGAGGGTACGGACCGACGCGCTGTGGCAAACGACCACCTGATCAGTCTCGAGCTCTCCCAAAGGACCTTTGCAGCTAAAGGCCACATTTCCTGATACAAATTCCTGAATGCCTGAATTGGGAGGCTTGTCTCCGAGCGCGGGCGCGCCCTCAGCAGCACCCCCAGTTAGCGCCACGAAGCTGTCTCCAGGAGAGAGCGCGCTTCCGACGGCGTTTCTGGGTTACTCCGCGAAGCTGCCCCAGGGACGCTGACAGGAGAGGCTGGTGGGGATACTTTTCGTCTCCCAGAGGCCACAATTGTGACGAACGTTTCCGAGCGCGGGCGCGCCCCCGCAACACCCCGGGCACCCCCAACCATCGCCGCGATACTGTCTCCGGGGAGCAGCGCTCTCTCGAGCGTATTTCCGGCCTCCTCCGCGAACGTGCCCCAGGGACGCAAATGGGGGTGAGGAGCACTATGGGGGTCCGCCTGCCGGTCACCAGGAGGGGGAGGGACCGACCCGCGGTGGCGAACGGCCGCCTGATCGGTCTCGAGCTCTCCCAGAGGACCTTTGCAGCTGAAGGCCGCACTTTCGGATACAAATTCCTGAGTGTCTGAATTGGGAGGAGCGTATCCGAGCGCGGGCGCGCCCTCTGCAGCACCCCCAGTTAACGCCACGATGCTGTCTCCAGGAGGGAGCGCGCTTCCGACGGCGTTTCTGGGTTCCTCCGCGAAGCTGCCCCAGGGACGCTGACAGGAGTGAGGAACACTATGGGGGTCCGCCTGCCGGTCTCCAGGAGGGGGAGGGACCGACGCGCTGGTGGGGTTACTTTCTTTAGTCAGCAGCCGCAAGCGAAAGCGCAAACGGCGAGTCGACTGGTGGGGTTACTTTTTTGGTCGCGTCCGCTAGCGAAAACGCAGGCGGAGACAGAAGCTGTCCAGGGCGCGGGAACAGTCCGAATTGTCTGCTAGGCGCGAAACGGGGCTGGTGGGATTACTTTTTGGATTCTGGGCCCGCAAGGAGAAATCCAGAGGGCGGTATGACCGAGGCTGGGGCACAGCGACAGATAATTGGCGCGAGACCGCGCAGAGTGCACCTGCAAACAAATTAGAAAAAGACGAGGCTGGGGCACAGCGACAGATAATTGGCGCGACACCGCGCAGAGTGCATCTGCAGATAATTTAGAAAGAGGCGGCAACGGGTCAACCCGCGGGTGGGGGCAAGCCGAAGCCCTGCCGAAAGCACGCGGACCCCAAAAGCCGCTGAGCGTGTGCCAGCAGAAGGGCAACCGCGACTGAGCAGGTGGAACCAGGCAGGACCCGCAGGTGGAGTAGCGACCGCCAGCCTGAAAGGGGGGGAAGAAGGGAGGAGCGCGAAGAGAAGGAGAGCACAACCTAAGAGCAGCGTGGCGGATCCACTCACTTGACACCCAGTGCGTGAGCGCCAGCGTGCACGCCGGCCACACACAAGGCTGGTGGGGTTACGCGAAGCGTCGAGAATTGGTTGCACCACATAAGGGGCACCCATTAGATTGAACCATCATAGATTGCACCGCACACGCTGCACTTCATACGTTACACACAGACCGTACCGCATGTTTGAGAATGCGACGACCTGCTTTTGGGGTGCCCGCGCAAGCTGGCATCCTTTTTGCTCTTGCAT